TCGCACAGCAAGGAATGGCACATCATGAATGCTACGAGTGCTTACCAATTATCACTAAATTCGCTTGCCGCTGCTGGTAACCGATCATGATCAGGATCATGATCATAATATTTTAACAACTTTATCGTAAATGCTCGAATCTCCCGAAGCTCACCATAAAAACGCCAATTTATTCGCTAATAACAAGTCGACATGAAAATTACAACAATTTACTTAAATTCGAAAAACTGCAAACGATTTTACGATATCATCAATGGTAAATGGCTTAAATAGTTCAAATAGCTAAAATAACTAAAATCGCTGCTTTGATCGTGTAGACTACAATTTTTTTCCACTCCAAGACTCCACTCGTAGGCTTTTGTGTGTACAGAAGTAATAACCTGAATTTTCACGCTATTAATGTGAAAAATTTATTGAAATTGGCAATAAAATTCTTTGCAACTGCAATTGAAATTTACTGCAACCGTAGAAATCGTAGTTCTCCGTGCTGCTGGCCTGACGAGGCCTGACTAAGAAGTCTCTCGTTTGCAGCTACTCACTATCTTAAAATCTAATTGCGTTTAAAGACCCCCACTAGCGATTTGCAACAATTCTAAGCAATTACAGCTGCGGGCATTAACAATAAATCGAAGCCACATGTGAACGTTCTGTGAATTTCGGTATTGGCAGCTTTCCGGCAGAAAGACACGAAGCCAATTCGGTTTGGCAGTTGAGTTCACTAATTGTCACGGTATGACTTCAGTTTACGACCTGTTGTAGTGCCGCAGGAGCTTTCACGTTTATTATATGTTGCGCGTGGATTGACATAATTGAACGTTACGATTAGTGTCTGCAGAGATACGGCAGCCTATTAGGTGGTCACAGCTTAACTAGTATAAGATCGCTAGATTTTATTGTCCATTAAAAAATTGCTACGATTGGATATAAAAAACAATGAATCCGCGTTACGACAAAACTGTACAACTTCACCATAAAATTTTAAAAGCGGTAAATTTTATTACTAGAAATCTGTCACTAATTGATTTTAATTGAGACATGAAAGAGTTAGTATGTATTTCTAAATTGGAAACAAGTGCCTCACAAGAAAGGTCATAGTTGGATAGTTAAGACATTTCTATTTTTTATATTAAAATATTTATATTTTATGTGAAACTCTGCCCAAAAATTATTATGAATAAAACATAATAAATATATAATAAATTTATAATATAAATATAATGTAATATATAAATTTAAATATATTTATATATATGTAATAATAAACTTATTTTGTTAACAATGATCAGATACTGTAACATAAAGAACCATTCATAGATAAACACTTCAGTGTTCTGCTTGACTTTCTTAATGGACAAAAAGGACAGAATCGCTCATGTCAGAAAAATAGTTGGACATGTAATTTATCTGTTTATAGTGTTACTTTTCAGTAGTGTTACTTTATTTGCCAGTTAAGATGAAACTGACTTGACAAAAATCAAACAAGGACTACGGCAGGAATACCTATGAACGAATAACATCTGCCTTATCACACTTTATCACCATTCCCTATTCTCCACGCACAACAATCTACCAATCCACATCCCCACACAAATAATCGTCTTGTAAATCCGTTCATGTTATCCGCTTACACGTCCCAGTGGGCTACAACAACAACAGTCTTTTTATCTGCTGTGGATACAAAACATGAAATTGAGTATGTCAGATATAATATTAAATTTTATAATTAAGTGCAAAATTTTATAAATTTTGTGTATTAATTTATCTCATCCATTACTGTGTTATCTAAGCTTATCAAAAAAAGGAAAAATTTAAAATAGTTTGAAAGATCTTACTTTTTTTGAGGAGCCTCCTTCCTTGCGGACCTGGACCAGTTACAGGATCTGACTTTAAATAGCATTTTATGCTTCGCAAAAGGTTCTAGGTGGTTTTAAACCCTGAGGTTTTCATTATTTATATACGGCATCACAATGGGCCAATAGGCCTAAGTGGATCCACTGGGGATCACCGGTGTAACCTAACCTACTTTTTTTGCAGCCGTTGCATGAAATGAAGCTAGTAAAAGTCAAGAACTCTGATTCAAATATGAATTGTAATTGCCATTTTGGAGAACATTGTTTTCGGTTTAAATCCGATATCTTGATGAATATGTCTCAGTAACACAGATTAATAGGTTTCTAGTAAGCAATAAATCAACCGCACAGTTTTTACTCAATACGCAATATATCTATTTATAATTTATTATGTCTAAAGGAATAATCAGAGATACTTCTATCTATTTTTTAAAAATATCCAATACCTCTTTACATCAAATTATTATTAAACTTTGTTTCCATATGGGTTTATTACTGGATAAGAAACCAAAGAATGCAAGCCTTATTTGCATTTCTTTTACTTAAAAATAATATAAAATAAAAAAAGTTGTTTGTGAACACAAGTGTGGGAGAGTAAAAGTAGCTGCTTTTTGCAATTTTTAAGTAGCTTACAGAACAGATTTCCTGGAAAAGCACTTAAACACAAATGTCTTCACACTCCACCAAACGCACCAATGTAAGCCGTAACTCAAAGAAACGTAACATATGCGCATGCGGCGCATTAATCATCGCTACCGCATTTACCGCGAAATCTGGCGTAAACCGTAACGTCGTTTAAATCAGCACATTCGTCCGGAGTCGTAGGAACAAAAATCCCATAAAAATACCAAATACCAAACAATGACACCGAAAGCATTTGCCGTCTTTGCTGTGAGTGCAATGCAAATTAAATCTCTCGCGTGACCTTTTTCAGCTCGAATTTGTATTTTAATTTCATGTTTTATTTGCTGTCATAATTTTTAATTTAATTGCGAAAAATATCCAGTTGCCTACTTGAGTGTTCCACTGATAAAAACTTCAAAAAAAAAACTATAATGCAATCGTAATGGCAGTCATGCGAATGTGTCAGTCAGAGGCAGAACTTCTTAACATGGCAAGCCAGTGACATCAATGCAAGGATTCAGTAAACAAGACAATAAAAAGTTTTCAATATGCGTGTGGCAAACTCATGAAACCACCGATGACTCCCTAACCAACTTACTGGCTTGTTTGGAACTAAATCTCCACATGCACGACAAATGTCATAATTTGTTTATAATTACCACGCAAAAATCAACAACATTTACATTTCTCAAAACAAAACAAAAAATCTGTAAACAAACACGTAAAAGGTTGAAAAACAATCAATTTTAACAGTGATAAGACGGACCAGAGTCATAGGGATTTTGACATGACTTTTTTGTAAACCTAAAGTCTAAAGCGTGCCGCAGAATAAACCTACAAATCGCAACTCTTTGTGAATCCCACACAGTATGTATGACATTTCTTACTACAGAAATCATCCTAAGATGTTTCAATACAAAAAAATCGTCTCAGAGACAGAGATCCAGTCTTGCAGCTCCAGTCTTGCATCTTGAGTCTGTCGAGCTCAATTACTGACTAGAGATCTAGAGAAAACCAAAGATCTGGAGAACACCAAATTAAAATTGATCAAATAAAACATATTCCAATATAAGAGTAGATTGTTTTCACAAAATAATCGTCCTGCGTTAATCGTCACGCTACACTAATGCAAACTTTTGGAATCTTTATTCATTCACAAAGAAGATCATTCCGAACCACATCAATATTCTCAAATATTTTAGTGCTGTGAAAAATATTGAAAAATCGAAGCAATTTGTTATCGAAATTAGACATTAAATGATTCATTTGACATCTGTTTAATGAGATGTCAAATTTTATTGGAG